TATAGCATACCCCACTGTACTACAATTTTTATCTCTTGAGCAAAATATATGACGTTTATATTCAAATTATTCACTGTCTTGCAAGGATTCCACCAAAGCAAATTATATTCTCCTAACTTTAGACTGTGATATTATATAAGATAAACACTTTAAACCCTAAAGAAACCACCAAACTTTTGTCTGGGAAGGCAGGGGTAGGGAGGGAGGGAGGGAGCGAGCGAGCGAGCCAGCCAGGGAAGAGGGGGGGAGCGGGAGGTGAGTGGACAGTATTTTGATTGACAGATAGTGTGTGGTGAAGTATAATTTGTTTATTTACTTGAGATTTTTGTTTTTAGCTCATAAAATTCTTAGAAATTACCCGGCCAGAATATAATTTACATTGCTGGAATTCATATAAGATAGTGATTAATTTGAATATAAACAAGCTACTATTTGCATTGAACATACAAATTTTAGATCTAATTTAAGAATTTTATTAGAGAGAGCAAAAATTTTATATTTTGTGCAAAATATATGACGTTTATATTCAAATTATTCGCTGTCTTGCAAGGATTCCAGCAATGCCAGTTATATTCTCCTAACTTTAGTCTGTGATATTATATGAAAAACTTGAAGACTAAAACCCTGGCTGGGCAGATGGGGGAGAGGGGGGGAGCGGGAGGTGAGGGGATATATTTTGACAGTTGGCGCTGAAGGTCTGTGTTTATTTATCAGTCCTTAAGAGTGACTAGGCTTTTCTCTTATAATTTGCCACCCAAACAACCTGGGAGAATATAATTTACATTGCTGGGATTCTTATAAGATAGTGATTAATTTGAATATAAACAAGCTATAATTGCAATAGACGTAACAATTTTAGTACCGTAATCATTTAGTACATGTACAGTACAGGTTTGCACTTAGGTCATTTATTTCTTTTACGTTTCTTTTAGTATGGTGTGTGGATGTAAATGAATGAAAATAAATGAAGTTGTCCCTTGTTAACTGAGGGACCACTGTATTGCAGTGTACTTGTACTGTACAGTAATACCCCGCTTTACGCGGTTATCGTTTACGTGTTTCTACATTTACGCGGTACCCTGCCAGAACTGGAATTCCCACTTTACGCGGTGCATCTACTCATATACGCGGGTAAAGAATAATTTTTTTATTTAGCTCATAAAATTCATACAAATTACCCGGTCAGAATATAATTTACATTGCTGGAATTCTTACATTATGATGATCATTTTGAATATAAACATCATGGATTTTGCATTAGACATACAAATTTTAGATCTGATGTAAGAATTTTGTTTACACAGAGCAAATATGTTATCTTTTGAGCAAAATATATGACGTGTACAGTTTTACCCCGCCTAACGCGGTTTCACTTAACGCGTTTTTGCATATACGCGGTGCCTTGCCAAAGCTGAACTTTCACTTAACGCGGATTTTTTCCACATATACGCGGTGAGTGTCCGAGACGCTATTTTTAGATTTGCCCCACCCGCCACCCTGCCTGACTGCCTGTTTTAGCTCATAAAATTCATACAAATTACCAGGCCAGAATATAATTTACATTGCTGGAATTCTTATAATTTGGTGATCATTTTGAATATAAACATCATATATTTTGCTTTAAACTTACAATTTTTAGATAAAAATTTTTCTCTAGGTAACTATGGTATCTTTTGTGCAAAATATATGACATTTATATTCAAAATATTCCTGGTCTTACAAGGAATCCAGCAATGTCAATTATATTATCCTAACTTTAGTTTGAGGTATTATTTATTAAAATTTAGTGGTTATCCCACACATCTCCTTGGGACGGTTGGTGGGGGGTGGGGGGGAGGGAGGGACCGACCGACCATCTGTTACCCTGTGAAGAATTATTATTTTTTTTTATTAACTGAAGATATTTGTTTTAGCTCATAAAATTCATACAAATTACCCGGTCAGAATATAATTTACATTGCTGGAATTCTTATAATTTGGTGATCATTTTGAATATAAACATCATATATTTTGCTTTAAACTTACAATTTTTAGATAAAAATTTTTCTCTAGGTAACTATGGTATCTTTTGTGCAAAATATATGACATTTATATTCAAAATATTCCTGGTCTTACAAGGAATCCAGCAATGTCAATTATATTATCCTAACTTTAATCTGAGGTATTATTTAATACTAAATGTTAAAAACTCTGGAAGGGAGGATTGGTGGGGGGTGGGGGGGAGGGTTGGGACTGACCGCGCGGTTGGAAGAGGGGGGGAGGCAAGGTGGGGTACTTTGATTGACAGATAGTGTCGTGAAGATTATTTTTTTTTTATTAACTGAAGATATTTGTTTTAGCTCATAAAATTCATACAAATTACCCGGTCAGAATATAATTTACATTGCTGGAATTCTTATAATTTGGTGATCATTTTGAACATAAACATCATATATTTTGCTTTAAACTTACAATTTTTAGATAAAAATTTTTCTCTAGGTAACTATGTTATCTTTTGTGCAAAATATATGACATTTATATTCAAAATATTCCTGGTCTTACAAGGAATCCAGCAATGTCAATTATATTTTCCTAACTTTAGTTTGAGGTTATCCCACACATCTCCTTGGGACGGTTGGTGGGGGGTGGGGGGGGGAGGGAGGGACCGACCGACCATCTGTTAGCCGGCTGTGTAGTGTGAGAGGGGGAGGGAGTTGAGTCCATTATTTGAATGGACATTAACTTGGCGACTGTATTTCTCTATTTCTCTTAAGTATTAATTGTGTGCATGTACCATCATAAAATTAAGATGTTATTTTTACTACAACATAGGTATGTGCCTTCAAAAAGTGGAGTTTGGGGGTCGGGCCGGTTTCTATTGGAATTAATCCCATATGTTCTGTTGTTCACTTAACGCGGATTTCACTTAACGCGGGACCCTCTGGGTTCAATTGACCGCGTTAAGTGGGGTACAACTGTATATTCAAAATATTCCTGGTCTAGCAAGGAATCCAGCAATGTCAATTATATTATCCTAACTGTAGTCTGAGGTATTATTTATTACTATACCTTAAAATCTAGTGTTTTCACCCAAACATTTCTCAGAGAGGGAGGAGCCAGGAGCGTGGGAAGAGGGGGGGGGTGGTTGAGTCCATTATTTGAATGGACATTAACCTGGCAACTGTATTTCTCTTTAATATTAATTGTGTGAGCATACCATCATAAAATTAAGATGTTATTTTTACTACAACATAGGTATTGTGTCGGAAAAAGTGGAGTTTGGGAGTCGGCCCAGTCTCTATTTCAATTAACCCCATATGTTCTGTTATTTTGTTTACGCGTTTCTCGTTTTACGTGGACCTCCACGGGTTTAATTGACCGCGTAAACTGACACTATACTGTACAGTAATGAAGACTGAGAGCAGCAAAGGTTAATATTTTGAAAAATAATGGGCAAACCTTACCATTTGAACAGCTATCATAAAAAATTTTGATTTTAGTCGGAATTTCAATATAAATATTCCTTGACATGCTGATTAAGGGTCTAGACTCAAAAAGTTGTAATTAATAACTTTGCAGCAATAATTACAGTACTCGCTACCTGGGATTTTTTTATGTGTGGATATTGGTGTTTTTGTTATTCTTGATGCACAGTATTGAAGCAGTATTGTATTTAAATATGTTAATTTCCAATTCTGAGAGAAAAGGGGTTTCTTATCCAAAAGATCACCTTGTCATAATCTCAAAAATTATGATTTTACTCAAATCTCTTTATAAGTATGTATTCATCAATATGCTAATATTTGCTAAGTTTGTGTACAGTATATTAAGGTAAAGCATATAAAAAGGCGATTTAAAACTTACAGGCATGGTGTACAGTACAATAATTGGAATTTAAATTTGTTTAATGCAGATTCTTAACCAGCATGTCAAGGAGTACACTACTGGTCCATTTCTATGAAATTTGAACAAAATCAAATTTTTTACCACTTCTACTCAAATACCAGATGTTTTTTGTTTTTTTTTGCCAAAAACACTATCTGGAATTTTAAAAGTAACTTGCTTAGATGGTAAGATTAGTGTATATTCATTATAAGACATAAAAATGTGATATGAAACTTAGGCAATGGTGAAGATTTAGATTTTGTTCAGATTTCATTCAAAGGTGCTCCTTGACATGCTCGCTAATTATCTGGGTTAAAGAAATATACTATATGTTTTTGTATTAATTGAAGACCATTGAAATAATGAAACACATTTAGAATACATTTAAATTTCAAATCATGTTAGTATTAGACTTTTACCACAAATGTACACTACTCTATCTTTACCATTTTAACACTATTTTTCACTTTAATTTTTCATATTAAGGTTCTCCATGGCATGCTGCTTAAAAAACTAGGTTACAAAATTGAAATTCGAGGAATTATTGTTAATTAATGACCATTGAATTAATTACACATGTTTAGATTAAAATACCTTAAAAGTTTACTGTATCATTGTTATGCCTGTAACTTGTTAAGTCACATTTTTAGGTGTTTTACCATGAACATAGCAACATAAAACTAGCATTTCCTTTTAAGGCAGCTCTTCCGGCCTCTCTCAAGGACACATTTTGTGTTTACCCACAAGTCTAACCTTACGACCCCCAGTTTGGGAGCCACTGCAGAAAATTTAATTCTAACAAGAATAAATGCAGTATTGTTGAAGGCTGACTGAGGTTCCTTTTATGAGAGTATAGTATTATTTTTGCCATCCCCTGATTTCATCATAAAAGTACCACAGGTGGCTGGTAAAAGGTGGACTGGTTGTTCTTGGAACTCTTATGACTTGTTTGAAATATCAGAGGACTTGAAACAAGTCTTGGTTTTCCTATTACTATATGTTCCTTTCTTTTGTATTGTAATGCTGTCTCCAGCCAAAGACATGTACTATAGATACACTTTTAGACTACAGCATGTATGATGGTGCTTTTGAATACTGTAGAAGAGAAATAATCTCTGATTCTTCATTTTCCTCAGGTTATCAGTGGGTGACTTATTTACTTCTTGGCACAACTGCAGCAGCATTTATTCCACTACTTCTTGTGGAAGAGGATTATTCCAGATCAAAGATAGACCGCCACAACCTCCTTCAGACATCATACCAGCCAATATGATTTTTTTCTTCAGTTTGAATATATATTTTGTTTTGAAATTTAAATATTTTCAAGTTAATAATACTGTAGTTTGCTTAAGTGTCCATGAAGTGTGTAAAATTTAGTTTTCTCAATATTTTTGTGATGACAATTATTTTTTATCTGTGGTGATCAAAAAAATATTGCTTTTACCGGTATATTGATCTCAACATGTCTCTTTTCCTTGTAACATCAGGGATAGTAACCAAAGAATTTTTAATGTTGGTCTTGCATTTACACCAGCAATTTATGATAAATTATGAGTTTAATTATTTTATATTTTGTTTAATATTTCATAAATTTGTTTTAATTATATCACTTAGTAACTATGTTACAAGAGTAGGTGTGCCTTGATCAGAGTTGTGGGTCTTACTGTGGCAAGGCTGCAATGAACTGGGAAAAAGAATCTTCAGTTTGTTTACCAGAATGTTACTTGTAAAATTGCTAGCATGAATATGATAGATAATAGGGTTACACTCCCCTCACTTGGTGCTCCCAAGTTATTGGGACCAGGCAACCAGTTTATTGTAGGTTGCAACATTTAATAGGTGTTTTTTAATACAGTAGAACGTCTATTTAAAGCGATTCAATTTAAGATTATTGATTTAAAGTGACACCCACAATTAAGGACAATGTTTTAATTTAAAGCAAATCTTTCCTATTTAGCGCGAGTCAATCTGGTGCATCATATTTTAAAATTCATGCATAATGTTTCTCTGGGCACGCTACACTGTCCTAAGGGCAATGCTGTACTGTACATGTACCCAAAATAATGTACTAAATTATTACTAAAATTTTTGTCTAGTGCAAACTATAGCATGATTTTATTAAAGTTAATCACTATCTTATAAGAATTCCAGCAATGTAAATTATATTCTCCCCGGTCACTTCTGTGACATTTTATAAACAAAAACTCAATCTAAAGGACATAAATAAACAAATACCTGTAAATACTTCACTAGACCTTCAGCCCCAACTGTCAAACATGTCACTGTCACCACCTCCCCCCCCCCAATCAGAAGAGAAGAAGAAAAGAGGGAGTGCAGAAGTTATTACAGATGTTTTTGGTTAAGGACCAGAAGGATTTACTAGAAGAAGAGTTAGTCAGGTCAGCAGTCTTTCTTTTTATAAAATTCTGCTTGGCACTCATACCACCCAATAAAACCCCTGCAATGCTATCAGCACATACCTAGGCATCCCAAGTGGAAAAGCAACATTCATCACAAGGAAAGTTGGAGAAGAATTCTCACAAGGATTGCCAGTTTGCCCTTCGATAGTTACATAGTTGACGTTTAGAGGGGGGTGGGGGAGGTGGTCGTGCCCAGATTGATTTAATAGAAATAAGATTGTGATCAGAAGACCCTAAGGGGGCAGAAATTGAGTATGAATAGTGTGAGGGGTTAGAGGTAAAACAAAGATCAAGAATGTTAGTAAGTTGATCATGTTCATTTGGAACACGTGTAGGGTGTTTAATTATTTTTTCCAGATCATTAAGTAAGGAAAAAGAATGCCTCAACTCCACTTGGGTCATCCCTTGCAGAGCCAAGCCACTCAAATTCATCTCTTTAACACAATTAGATAAGATGCTTTGAGTAAAAATTTATACACTTTTACACTAGGGTTATGAAGTGGTGGAGTAAGAGGGAGGGAGAGGGAGTAACTTTCTCCCCCAAGGGTCGCTTCCTTCCCTCCCCCCAATGTGCATCACCGACTCCTGCTTCTCTCACTCATTCTACTATAATTGTCATTCATGATACAATATTGTTTATTTGTTATTCATTCATGAGTAAAGATACATTACAGTAATAATCTGTGCTTATCAATACCTGTACCCTTCATATACAATACTGTGTATATCTCATAGGTAAAAAAAAAAAAGTCATCAGGAACACATTTCTCTAACCCAATTTGAGCAAATGTTGTGAATAAAAATTTATACACTTTTTTTGCCAGCTGTAAATATATGTGCACCTCAAAAATACCTTAGCTTTTGTCTTTATTCAAGACATCTTCAGGTCATGAGACCCACTAATCCCTCATCCTGACAAAAGGTGACCTGACATTGCATCAGAAGGTCAGTAATTTGAGATCACTAATCCCCACCCCACCTCCACTTGATATTGATCAGGTCAGGTCAGTAATATGAGATTCATTAATCCCCTACCACACCTACATTGCAACATTTCTTGATTTTTTTTTCATAAAACAATTGAGTACCCATCATTATTATTGTGTGTTTGTGACTGTTAAATGAGCAGTACAACTTTGAAAATGTCTAGCAAGCATTTGCTCACCATCTTTAAACCTATACCTCCAGTCTCCACTCCTCAGAGTCCCCAAAGTGTTTGTGTGTGTGTAGGACTCAGGTTGATATCTCCACTCCACCTTAAGAGTCCCCTTAGCCTCGAAGGGGACATGTGATGATGATGAGACTTGTTCTTAATAATGTGGTGATTTTTTTATTTTTCAGTGATACATGTGGGTGTTCAACTGTTATAATCATCCTGATTTATGATATTTCGACCTGTGATCAGGATTTCAAGAACTTAACCCCATCGTAAATAGAGGTTAACCAACATTAATTTCCAATTCCTTTCCTTTGTCACCATAAGCTAGATGATTCAGTTCATAAATAATTTTATGGTCTTCATGTTAAACACTATTCAGTATTATGAACTTACATTTCCTGAGCAAAAACAATAACTTTCAAGACACCCATACAACACATTCTTTATGTTACTTCTTTGTTTAGGTAGTTTCTTTAAAAAGTTGTAAGATATAGGAAGACAGATATCAATTGCATAAGTGTTGGACAAATTTCTGAACCCTGAACTTAGCTTAACCAACCACAACCCTAACATAAATTATTGTCCAGGTTCAGGAATTGGTTATGCCTAGTTTGAGCATCTAAGGATCTTGAGTGGTGAAGAGGATGTCTTGTTAAAACACTTATATACAGTTACAGTAATTCAACTTTATTAGAGTAATGGACATTTACAGTATAAGTGTTAGACTAGGAAAGAGTAGGATACAAAAGGATGATTCTACAGGGATGAATGTGCTGAAAATGTGGGATGAAAGAGCTTAAAAGAACAACAATTATCCTCCAAGGAAACAAACTATTACTGTTACAGGTATACCCTAACAATGTAGCGGGTGTAGCGGGCGGGTCGTGTTGCGTCTCTGTAACAAAGCGTGTTCGGCATTCGGGCCTTCGATGTAGAGCGGCAGAAATTGGACAGTGATTACATAAGTTCGTCAAGATCGTCTTAGTGAGGTGAAAGTGTAAATCGATGTAGGACTTTTCATGCTAGACACGATTGTATTTTTGAAAACTCAATTTCCACCGAGTTGGAGGTACAGCCAGGGTCACAGGCCTATAACCACACAATCACTGCCACATGACAAAGCTTTTATTTTATTTTATTTTTTAGGGTGTTGTGGTCACGGCTGTGATAAAGGCCAACCAGGGAGTGTAGTACTGTGCCTTCAGTTAAATCAGTTCATAGTTGTCATCAGTGAATGCAGAAGAGACTATAAATAACTTAAAGTGAATACATATTGGCAATCGAGCTGGTAAGGACAACTGCCAGCCTATTCGTGTCATAGGTGCCACAGAGACTTTAAATTTTATTTTGTTTGTGTGCTTTCTCAAGGACTGAATCTGTGTTTATAATACACCACTCACAGGGAGATACAGTGTACACAGTGATAGTTCATAGTGTCATCAGTGACCGCTGAAGTTGTAAATAACTTAAAGTGAGCGCTCACTAGCAAGCAAGCTGGAAAGGCACCGTGCCAGCTGAAACCAAGTCGTGTCATAGGTGCCACAGAGACTTTAAATTTTATTTTGATTGTGTGCTTTCTCAAGGACTGAAACTGTGCCTACAATACACCATTCACAGGGAGATACAGTGTACGCAGTCGCAGACGACAACTCTATAGGCAACAGAGAGTAGCTAAGTACTTTTTCTCTCTTTATTTTTTTGAAATAGGTGTAGATTTATACACAGTCTGCACCCCCCCCCCCACAACAACAACAACCATGAGTTTGATATGTGATTACTGCAGGGAGACGTCGGATATGGAGGATACAGGCCTAACTAATGCAACGTTTAGGAAGTTACTAACTGCCGTAAAGCATGATGGCTGTTGCTGGTATTGCTCTGGCTGCATAGTCAAGGTGAATGAAGCGATTGCAATCCATAAGGGAACGAGTTCTCTAGGGACGAAAATAGATGAAGCAGGAGCCCTGCTGGTTGACAAACTGGAGCAAGTTGGAAAAGAGATCCTTGCTAAGACTGAGGAAGTAGCTAATAGAATGGAGGTGGTTGCTAAGAGGAGTTATGTTGACGTATTAGGAGGGCCACGGGGGGGGCGGAGAGTAATGCAGAATCAGTACAGGTTCTACAGCAGATTGGGACTGAAAAAGTGTGTCGAAGCAATGAAAATTAACGGACCTACTGTTAGGGGAGAGGAGGAACACCAGGAACGGCTCCAGCGCAGGAACAATGTAATAGATTTTGGAGTCACAGAGAGCCAGGCAGAGGGAACTGTGAGTAAGGAAACACACGACAAGGTGCTGTTTCGAAATATTTGCACAGAGGTTCTGAAGATTCCAGCAACCCCTCAGGATGTGAGGAGGCTGGGACAAAAGCAGGGGGCTAAGCCTCGCCCCCTCAGGATCACACTAGGGAGTGAGGAGGAGAAATGGCAAGTTATTCGGCAGGCAAAAAACTTAGCAAGGAGCGAGGCATTTCGGGATGTATTTATTCACTCAGACCGCACGGTAATGCAGAGGGAACAGCACAAGAAGCTCCTGCAGGACTTGAAGCAGAAGAGGGAGGAGTCGAGGAGGAACGGGGACATGTGTACATGGGTTATACTCAGGGGGAGGGTAGTGGAAACAAGTGTGCCGACACAGGGCCAGGGGGCAGCAGTGCACCCTCCACCCACTCAACCCCCCACCCGGGAGGCGGCACCAGCTCAGCCTACCGGACAGGAGGGAACGAGCGCCGTGTAAACAATGACATTTCTAACCACACCTTGCAAAATACAGTGTACTTAGCAAATGCTGCAGCTTCTGAGAATGTGGGTGGAGCGAGTTTATTACTAAGAGCAGAGACGTTACCGAGAACAAATTCTGGCTTGAATGTCATGTACACTAATACTGACACGTTCCTTGATAAGAGAGAGAGTTTGAAACACTACTAAGAGTACACCAACCAAATATTGTAGGAGTTGTAGAACTGTTGTACAAGAACAGGAGAATCGACCCAGAGGAATGTGAGTTCAGTATTGCTGGATATGACTCATTTACGAACCTAACTCAAGAATCCTGCAGGAGGGGTGTGGTTATCTACGCTAAGCAAGACCTTAGAGCCAGCCAGGCGAGGGTACAGGGAGAGGATGTTTTTGAAGAGTCCAAGTGGTGTAAAATTAAATTAAAGGGATGGGACTTACTTATCGTCGGGTGTATCTACAGATCCCCAAACTGTGGCCCACTAAATCAAAGGAACTTAAGAACCTTAATAAACAATGCGGCGATGCTCAACCCCAGCCACCTCCTTATCATGGGGGACTTTAACTATGGCGACATCGACTGGAGAAACGAGTCCACCCCGAATGACTTGAATAATCCTGCTACTCTTTTTGTAGCAGATAATTTTCTGTTCCAACATGTGAGAG